CTTGATGTATTTTTGGTTTATTATTTTCAATAATGAACCATTGTGATCGACCAAAAATTAAAAAACTTAACCCCCCTCAAAATTTGAGATTTTACATTTCAGGATACGCAGAATTCGAAAAATGAATAAAATTTTTGTTCGCCAGCCATCCGCGCATTTTCTCTGAAATTACTGGACCGATTTCTTTCAAATTTGGCTATAAAATCAGAGGTCACCCGAGGACGATTCTCCTTCATCGACATTATGATCCGCCTTTTACTTTAAAAATGGCGGCCGAAAAACCTGCCTTGCTATATACTCTAGCGCCTAAACGAATGTATCCATTTCAATGAAACTTCGCTAAAGTCATTTTCTCGACGCCCTTTAAATTTATATATATATAATATACTTCAACGAAAAGAAGCTGGAAAAAAGTTACGAGGGTTGGTAAAATTAAATTCTAATAGCAAATTTTATACTTTTATGTGGATATTGTATATATATATATATATATATATATATATATATATATATATATATAGTTTTTTTTAAATTTTACGGAATTTTCTAAAAAAAAAATTGGTAGGGGTGTTGAGGTATTGGGTGATTTGGTGTGGGGGGTGGGGGTGGTGTGGGGGGGGTGGATAAGGGATGTGTGGGGGTGGGGGGTGGGTTGTGGGGGAGTTGTGGTGGTGTTAGGTGGTGGGGGTGGTGGGTTAGGGTAGGGTGGTGGAGGGTTTGGGGGTGAAGGGTGGGGTTGGGGGTAGGGGAGTTATGTTGGGTGGGGTGGGGGTGTGGGTGTTTTGGGAGGGGAGTTGGTTGGGAGGGAATGTTGGTTTGGGGGGGGTGGGGGGGTGGGGGTGGGGTGGGGTGGGGGGGGTGGGGGGTGGGGGGGGGGGGTGGGGTGGTGTGGGGGGGGTGGGGGTGGGGTGGGGGGGGGGGTGTGGGGGGGGGGTGGGGGGGGGGGGGTGGGGGGGGGGGGGGGGGTGGGGGGGTGGGGGGTGGGGGGGGGGGGGGGGGGGGGGTTGTGGGTGGGTGGGGGGTGGGGGGGGGGTGGGGGGGTGGGGGGGTGGGGGGGGGGGGTTGGGGGGGGGGGGGGTGGGGGGGGGGTGGGGGTGGGGGTGGGGTGGGGGTGGGGGGGGGGTTGGGGGTGGGTGGGGGGGGTGGGGGGTGGAGGTGGTGGTGGGGGTGGGGGGGGGGTGTGTGGTGGGTTGTGGTGGGGGGTGTGGGGTGGGGTGTTGGTGGTGGGGGTTTGTGTGGTGGGGTTTGTAAGGGGGTGGGAGTGGTAGGGGTTAGTTATTTGGGATTGGGTATGGTGAGATGTGGGGTGGTGGGTGTGGGTGTGAGTATGTAAGGTTAGTTGTTGAGGTGGGGTGTGGGGTGGTAGAGGTTAGGGGAGAGAGAGAGTGGGATGAGGTATAATGAGAAAGGGTTTTGGATTATGGTGTGTGTGATTGTGTGTATTGGTTTTGGTGTGGAAGTTTGTTTGACTGAATAGGTGTTAAAGGTTGAGAGGGGGTTTGTTTTGTGTGATTTGATTGATTTTGGAGTGATTGTAATGGTGGAAGAAATTTTTCTTTCCCTAAACAAAAAATATCTCGAAATTTGTCGCTTGCTGCATTTGCCCTATTGCAATTACATAAATAATAGTGTATTAAATTCTCAAAAAAGGACCTACTAATTTAAATAAATTAGAATACTAATACTAATTTTAAAATTATTTCTTTAGTTAATATTATGAATAAAGGTTATTTTAATTTCAAGGTAAAGTAATACCGATAAGTAGGAGTTTAAAAATGTTGCTAACCAACATATGGAGATTAAGAATAAAAACGGTTATTTAATGTGAAGGGATGTAGAGCTGAGGGCGTAGTAAACCTTGGTTACAACACTACTCGACGGCTTTTAATCGTCTGTTTAAACCCGATAGAACAAGTAATGAACTAAAATCCAGTTATTCGCTCAAAACTGGAGTTTATTTGTATTAAATTGAACCTAATTCCGACGTACGAAAAACCATTTCCGATTCAGTTCAGAACAACGCAACACCAGTTTCCGCTATTATTAACATAAGCAGCAAACCAGAACCACACTTCCTGCGGGAGATTCATTAACCTGCTTGGCGCTTATTGAATTGTTCGTTATTTGAATAAACATCATGATCTTTTTAACAGTAGTCTAACTATAACCACGGTTTTAGTATAAAAACTTCGTTAGCCTCATTTTCTTCTCTTAAATTATATTTTTATTTTTACTGGGAGGGGCGCTAATGACATAAATGCCCGAGGACAGCAAATGTCTAAGGCTGTCATTACCGGAATGTATGGAAGGGGAGAAAATAATAATGAAAGTAAAAACAAATCCAAGAGGAACGCACTACTTGGCTATGCTGAAATAAGCTATCGATTTAAGCATGAATATTCCTGAGCCCTCAAAATACATAACAGGCTTTATAAATTAATAATTAAAAACATAAAGAATTACTCAATCAAAGTATATCATTAGAAAATAACTATAAATACGTAGTGATCAATAATATAGAAAAGTATAAACTTTCTTAAGCTTCAATTGTACACAATTTAATATACTTGTCAGTGAAATATAGTTAACTGTACTATTTAAAGACGTCGATTAAATTCAATATAATTTTAAGTCTATAGAATTTTGTTTGGGTCATTTTGCATGCGTTCCTTCTTATTACTTAGAACTCCTAGCTTTAAGAGGAAGTAATTTTTTTTCATTATTGTAAATTTCTCCTCTTCCTTCATTGTGTCGATAATTCAGAGTTATTATCGTTGCTGATAAGACATTAAAGAGAAAGCTATTGAGCAGGTTCAAGTAACGGTGTTTCCTTTATTTGCTATTTTCACGCCTTTATATGAGTGTATTAGCATATGCTTTGAAAAGGGAATGTTTTACATAAATACAATGTGCGAAAATTTAGATCGGAACATTTCTTCAGTGAAATTTAAAGTATTAAAAACGAATAAACACCGAACACGAATAAAAGTATTAAACACGAAGTATAGATTAAATTCGATTAGAATGTATAAAATAATTATAGGAAGATAATCTGAATTAAAATTAATTTAAAATAAAGTAAAAAGTAAAATATAAACTGGAATAAAAATTATTTTATCTGTAGATATTATTTACCGTCTGTGACCCGTGAAAAACTTTATCTGATAATAAAGAGTTTTAAAAAAATTGTATTTTGTTTTTCCTGCTGATTTTATCGACCTTTTACAATTACTGTGTCCTATGACCCTTTGCAAATATAGCCCACCCCACACACAATCCACGTGAGTCGCACGCGTGGGCGAATCTGCGAATCTAAATTATCAAAACAGATATTATGCTTACGAGAACCACCACACTGCTTGTACACAATTGTAAAATTTTTGTTTAATGTCTCTCAAAAATAGATTTCGAGAAAAGTATTTATTTCGTTGGAGGATAAGTATTGTTTATTACAAGCCATCACGTCAAAAAATAACTAATTGTAAGCTTGTATTCACATCCAACTTTTAGTCCAACGAGAACTTATGATAACTCATTATTATTGAGATTAAATGATTATTTTAAAATCATTGTGATGTTAAATTATCCTGACATAACAATATCATATATAGATTACTTATCAATTATTTTTTCTACTTCTCATTTTTTTTTTTTTTTTTTTACATTGTAAATATCAAATGATTCCAACTCACAGTCTCAGATTTGAAATCAGGATCGATGAACGTATGGACGTAATGAATGCAATCCATTTTTAGAAATTTGTTTAATATAAATAGGATGTTATTAAAAAAATATATATATATATTTTAATGGTTTCATAGGAAAAAATAATCTCAGAATCATAGTTAAATACCACAATTTAAGGTCGCAGATATAATTTATAGATACGTCATTATTCCAGAGATATCGTTGATTGTATGAGTTTATCATTGATAAACCGTTGTTAGTAAAACAGTCAATTAAATTTTAACGATAATTTTACTACCACCATGCATAATCAGTACAGCTACTTGATTCAGAGGAAACGATGATATTAATAGAAAAGGAGTTAAACGGGAGGAAGTCTATTGACATTTGTCAGAAAGTAAATAACTTTTACTAACGTCATTATTTTTGGGAATAGAATCATTGTTAGTCTTTACAATGTTTTTATAACATATTTTTTCTTTAGAAGAAAATGGCCATTAGGTTGAGTTTTTATTTTCATCATTATTATTTAGTTATAATATAATATGATATGAGTTATAATAATATGAGTTAATTTAAATCAATGAGCACGTACATACAAAGCACTTTGAGAAAGTAAATTTTCCGAAAGCTTTATATACTTCCTTTTAAAGCTTGGCATATATTTTCTTCTAATCTTTTGAATGTTTGAATATTAATGAAACCATTGTATACCCAATGAGAGGAGTATTGTGACATATTCAAGGGCAATAAGCAGCCGACTATCACTTCATCGTCCAACCATTATCTACCAGTTTATTCTGTTAACGTTGGCAGCATTGAGTTCCCTTAGTTGCCTTCCCTACTGCTTTAGTTCTCACCACGTGAGCCGGTGCTTAGAAGGTAATGGTGCGTATTTCATCATGCTTCCAAGACTTGAGTGTTCAATATATTTGTATTTTATTTTTCTCGTTAGTAATCAATAATATATTCTACATTTGATACATATCCGCCTAACAAACTAGAATTTAAGCTTCAAGTATGTTTTAAAAGGCGATTATAGTGTATATAGCAGTTAAATTAATCAGGTACTTACTTGACATTTCTGTTAATATGTACTAAATGTTGTGAGTGTTCATGAAATTTATAAGATAATTAAGAAAGACATGTTAGTGGTTGTAATTGGCATGTCAAAGATCATTCTCACTTAGTGCTTTCATTAATCAGTTCTCTAATTGTGTTTCCAGCCTGTGACATTCTTGTTAATTGTTCGTTTATGACCAACTGGACCAGACACTTCTCTCAACCACTGGAGAATAGGAATATTTTTTAATATGGAAAATTCAAGTCCACCTACAAACTCACCTTCTGGTTTGCTTTTAATGACTCCTGTGGAAGAAAAGCCTGATAAAGTTCGATTAAAAAAAGAACTTGGTCTGCTTGAAGGAGTTGCTATTATTCTTGGAATTATTTTTGGGTCAGGTAAGTTGATAGTTTAATTTTACCCTAGTACTAACAATATTAAATTTAATTATGTCCTGCTGTTTTAAGACATTAAGAGAAATCAGTTCATGACGAATCATATAATACATAAAACAAACTATCATTTACCAATTATGTATTTTCAAAATATATATTCACAATTATTCCTTTATGTGTTTTTCTGTTAGGAATTAATTATTTTCTATAGAAAATTAATTAAAAGTTTCGGCATCTAAATTAAACGTAACTTGTGTTGATTCTTTAATGATATAATTGGCATTAGAGCTGAATCAATGTGAATAACTGCCTTGTTAAGAATATTAACTTCCTAACTGAACTTAGGAAATCATATCACATTGTCTTTTTCTGTACGACAGCTGCTAAGTGCTATAAGAAGCTAAGAACTTCCTGTAGTTTTTTGCTTCTTAAAACTGATGAATCCACATTTTATCTTTTGTGCAGATTAAAAATATTTGACATTCTTAATTTTTTTAAATTTGGTTTTCCATCCATAATTTCCTATTATAACTTGTTTGTTTTTATTATGCCTTTATCTTAGATTATTTTATTTACTTAATGATTTAATTATACTTACTTAATACTTGGATTTCAAATTTTAAGTCAATGCATTATTTGATATCAAACTCTAATTTTGATTTCATTGTTTATTAAATTCTTCATATTATCTACCTTCTGCATGAGCATTTATTGATTATTTTTTCACTTTATGATAATACATGCCTTGATCACAGTTGTCATTAATGTATCTTCTCTTTTGTCTTTTATCAAAAAAAATTATTTTCAATGGCTAGTTGTGAATTATTCTATTAATAAATTATTCTTTACCTTAAGGAAGATTTTACATTTTAAACTGTTTGTAAAGTATCTTTTAAGTTTTTTAAAAGCAATATTGTAATAGAAGTTATTCAGTTATAGCTTTTTGGATGATTTGCTTTACTGGATTTATTTTTCATACTTTTGTTTTGATTTAATTTTGTTTGCATTGTTAACATATTTTTAATGTTCATATCTAATAATGATGTTCATGAAAACCTTATTTGGTATTGTAACACAGACATAACAAAAACTAATATTTAACTCTTGAGTATTCCAAGATATTTTCTGGGTAATAAAATTTTTGATTCTTAGTCAATATTTGTGCTTTACTCTGCTGAGTTTGCATGCACTAGATAAAAATGCCATTTATCCTCATTACTATTTATTAATATACAGAATCGTATTCAACATAATTATAGAATAATTGTATTTTATAAAAATGTTGAATGAATATCATGTTCATTCAACCTATTATTTATTTTATTTTTTTGCTTTATTAGTGATTGTAATAGTAATTATGACAAAAGAAAGCAGTTTTTGCCTTTTCGATTACTTATCTGTTGTCTCAGTTAATTTGGTGGACACAATTCATTAGAATGGATTACCTAAATGACTGTGTTAAGTATTATAATTAGAGCTGTTTACTTAATAAACAAATACTATTTACAATAATCTTTTACATTTTAGCTGTTCCAAAGTTTGATGATTATGTATATTTAACATTTTATGGTTTTGGGGAATCGCCTTGATTAAAAAGCAAATTATATATTCATATACATATCTATATATTTCTTTAATAAAACCCAATTTAACTTTTATACCTTCTATTTGTAGGTATTTTCATTTCTCCAAAAGGAGTAATACAGGAAGTTGGCTCGGTTGGAAGTTCCCTTCTTGTTTGGGCTGTTTGTGGCTTACTCTCCATGATCGGTAAACTATTTTTTTGTATCTTATAACTTTACTTGATGATTGATTTTTATTCATATTCTATTTAAATTTTGAAGAGAAGTTGGTTGGGGTGTTAAATAAAATAAATAAATTATATTTATTTTTGCCGCCGTTTCGGCCCAAAGTTCAGATATTCTGTTCTGGGCTGTTCTCAAGAAAGGTAAGACCTGAACTTTGGGCTGAAACATCAGCAAAATAAAAATAAATATAATTTATTTATTTATACTTTTTATTTTACTGAACATCTTAACTAACTTTTCTTAAATTATTCACTACAGTCAACTATCAATCCACAATTATTTAGATTTTGTCCATTTTTAGGTGCCCTTTGCTATGCTGAGTTAGGCACATCAATTCCTAAGTCTGGTGGTGACTATGCTTATATATTTGAAGCTTTTGGACCAATTCCTGCCTTTTTGTATTTGTGGGATGCTATGCTTATATTTGTGTAAGATTTATTTTTTTAAGGTAGCATATATCATCGGCGCTTTGCTAAAGGAACAAATGTGATTTTTTGCCTAGTATAAACTTTCTATTATGATTAAATATTGTATACAAAGCTATCATTTTGTAAAAATCACATTACTGATTCCGGTCTTCTGATTGCTGTTTCTATTTGACGTTTTGCCACTAGGTGGTCCTTGTGGTACTATGGTAAAAGAATGAAATTGAAAAATGTGACTTTTTACATTTGTTACTTTAACATGGTGCCGAGGAAACTGATTTATGAAGAATTGATTTAATATCTTTATTTAAATATAAGTCATTGATTTTATATAAGTCACTTTTCTATTTTTTCTTTCAAAATGTTTAAAGACAATATCTAACTCATTAACAATGAAAATATCATCTCTGAAACTTCAATGGAAAGTGTATATTGGCTGAAGTGTTGAAAGACAAGTTGTGTGAAATAATCAATTACTAGTATTCTCTCAAACATTCATATTGATATAGTTTTTTAAATGTTTTAATTTTAACCACCAATTTTGGTGATCTTGATAATTCATATTTATTTAACCCTTGAACCTTTACAGTACAAATTATTGATATTCTATTGTATTTTCATATATCATCTATTTGCTTGGATCATTCATAGCTGTTTTGTGCATTTAATTTCCTAAAATTAATGATGTACTGTCTATTTTTTAGTGATGAGTGATTTCATCTATTTTTTTATTTCCTTCTCTCTCTGTTGTGTTTTGATAACATGGGATTCTAATTTTATGGTATTAAACAATAAAAATTGTTATGATATTTTAATTGATATTCATCTTTATCTTCCTTGTTTAGGCAATCTGATATTTTTATGTTTATCCGGGAAACATCACAAATAGCAATTGTATGAGTTGCTGCTTTCTTTGCCTTATTCCTAATTAGAAATGAGGTACCCCCACTATTTCCTTCCACCCATTCTTGCAGGCTTCATTGTAAGGCTAGTTCTCTACAGAGACGAGTTGAGGATAATCATTTATAGAAATCTTGATAACCTTGACATATAGGCTATAGAAACCTTAGCCTATCCTCAGTGTCTCAAATACTATGCAGCCCGTAACTTCCTTGGCAGTTTCCAGTATGCCACAACATAGAAAATGAATATTCTTTCCAAAAGCCATGCAAATTGTCACAAAAGTCCTCGTGCCTGATGAGGAATTATGAGACCCAATAGTCAGGTTGGACCTTGAAAGCAGGATGGTAGAGTGGGCTAACACGTGTGCACAGCTCCGTGCGTTGCCCAGAAACCTGATAAACGAATTTAGTGATAGAAAAATAATTATGTTGAATATTTAATAGTTGACCGTTGCATCGTAAAGGAAGGAGATGGTCCGGGGTTGCGGTCATAAAAAGGCTAAATAGTGGTAAAACTATTTTATTGAAAGCCAACGTTTCGACCCGAATTTGCAGGTCTTCATCAGGGCTAGAACGGACAAGATACAAAAAGATAGAGGATAAGTTGCAGCCGTAATATTATGTAATTGCCACAATTCTCTATCTTTTTGTATCTTGTCCGTTCTAGCCCTGATGAAGACCTGCAAAGTCGGGTCGAAACGTTGGCTTTCAATAAAATAGTTTTACCACTATTTAGCCTTTTTATGACCGCAACCCCGGACCATCTCCTTCCTTTAAAAATAATTATGAGTTCAAATCCCGGTGCTCGGTGAGACTTTTAATTCAGCATAATTCCCCAGGCCTGAGAAAAACCCCATTTAGCCTAAATAAAAGGCAAGGAAGAGAAGAACATAAAAAAAAAAGTCAGGTTGGACCCGCCTGGAAGTTACTTAAGACTGGATGGAGCAGAAATACTTCCTTAAGGTAGTTCTCTTGGTGGTAGTGACCCATTGTCTATCCATGACCGCCTGAATATCTTCTTTCAGTGTTGCCTTAAATTAAATTCCCATCTGTCAGATATGTAAATTTGGAAACATTAATTTTTACTTCTAAAATTTATTTATTTTTTTATATGCCACTAAAAAACAATTTAATGTTAACTTTTCTAATTTTTAGGCCTACTACTAATGCTATTATGGGACTGACATTTGCTAAGTATGTATTACAGCCATTCTTCCCTGACTGTGAGCTTCCAGATTTGTCTGTGAGATTAATAGCTGCCTTAGTTATTTGTTTTTTTACATATATCAACTGTATCGATGTCAAAGGGACAACACGAGTTCAAAATGCTTTTATGTTTACAAAAGTTGCAGCTCTTGTTCTTATTATCTTTGTTGGAGTTTATTATTTGGTTTTTAATAGTAAGTAGATTTTTATATTGTTCCTTTATTTAATTTATCCGTTAATGTAATAATAATTGTTTAGTTATACTACTACTAATTTTTTGGGAGATGATAGTTAATAATATCATTCCATTTAATAATAAAATATGTGGTAGGTGTGCTAGGGTATGTGTGTCTTCATAGAAAAAATCTTTAAAGTTTCAACCAGTGTTTGAAATTGATAATTACTTTCCAATAAGTTATTTAATAATATAAACAATAATTTAAATCGATCTTTGATGTTTATTTATTCGATTAAGAATAATGATCACTGTGTGATATGGTTAAACAAAAAAAAAAAATTGATCAGAAAATAAAATATATACACTGACAGGCAAAAAATTCCACCCATTAAGGAACCACGTTGGAAAGGTTGGCTCTGGGAAAAATTACAGGCTGCATATCTTTCGTTTCTTCTTCTCCACACCCTTTCACGCCCGTCTGGAGATCGAAGAGCGAATCTTGACTCATCTGTAAAAAGTAAAGCACTCCATTCGTCCATAGTCCAATGGTTGTGTTCTCGAGCAAAAGCCAGCTGTGTTACTCTGTGAGTTCTGGTCAACTCTGGTCCTCTTACTAGACGAAAAGCCATTAATCCATACTCATTTAATCTTCTCCGAGCGGTACGTTCAGAAATTTGCACACCTTGAACTTCTTTGAGCTGATGAATGGCTTGAACAATGGTAAGGAGCCGGTTTTGTGAAATTCTCAAAGTGAAAAATCGGTCATCCCGTGGTTCTGTTACCCTAAGCCGTCCAGAACCGGGCCTTCTATTGTAAGAACCAGTTTCCCGAAAATGCCTGACGGCATCTCGTAAAGTTTCATATGGAACTCCGATGGCAATAGCTGCATATCTAATGGAACGTCCATCATCAATAAGTGCCACACCACTTCCTCAACACTCACTATTTTTAAACTTAATATTGAAAAAATTAAAAGCCGGAGACTAAGAAATGTGCTGTAAAAAACAGCACTGAACTAATGATACTGAATAAACATTTTGATTCCATAGAAAGTAAACATTGGAATCTATAATCATTTCATTGAATCAAGGGTTATTGTCCTCTATGTTAACATTCCTAATTGAAAACAAACAAAAAGATTACCTATTTATTCATTAAAAACAATAGACCAATCCAAAGCAGAAATATTTTTAGATGAAAACATGAAAAAATGAAGTGGGTGGAATTTTTTGCCTGTCAGTGTATATATATTATTTGTTTATTTTTGTAAGCAAAAATTTGTAATTAATTCCGGAGATAAAGATGTTCTGTTGCTAATAGTTGACAACAATATGCTATGGGTAGTTGGTCATCTTATAAATCTTTATTAAAACCATGCTGACCTGATCAACATGGTTAAAAGAAGATAAGCTGTTATTTTAATATCCAACTAATTTAACTTGATATTCGAATATTTATTAAAGTAATATTTTGTGTAAAATTGATTCATAACTTTATATTTTAGGTTCCAAGAATTTTGAAAACGCTTTTGAAGGAACTAATTATAGTCCTGGTAAAGTTGCGATAGCATTCTATGCTGGAATTTTTTCTTATTCAGGCTGGTATGTATTTTTATTTTTTCTGTATATTGATTATTCTCCCATTTCATTATCAAATTTATTTAAACACTTATGACAGTGACAAACTTCTGAATATAGCTGCCATGTTTTTAAGTTCATTATTATTATAATTAATAATTTTCTTTGATTCCAGGAATTATTTGAATTTCATGACTGAAGAATTAAAAAATCCATATGTGTAAGTATAATGTCATATCTGTAGAATTTAACTATAAAATATAATGTTGGTATAACCCTCTACTAACTAACTCTGTCCGTTCCCAACTAACAAGGGGAAGTTACAGACGTGGGGTCACCGATTTCAATGAAACTTTTTTGGTGATACTAGGTCGAAAAATACGAGACCCATGTCCTGAGGGTTCTTGCCAATGCACTCTAGGAGCCAAGAAAAAACTATTTTATGAAATTTTATTATACTGACTTTGCTCTGAATGAATTTTTAAGTTATTATATATCAATCGATTTGTTTTTTTTTGTGTAAAATAAGAAAAACATATTGCTCATTGTATTAAAAGAACCCTTATATATAATAAAATCCATAGACGCTTCCAGTAAAGTAGCCCAAGTAAATTTTTGTCATGGAAAAACACCAGATTTTTTTTAGGGTTCACTAAAACTCTTAAATACGAATTTCTTTTGAAATGAAAAAATATAAATTTTTGGGCCTCATATTATGAGAGAATTTTTTTTTCATTGTTTTCTAAAATATTCTTAACTTCTCAGGTTTTTCTCCCAAGTCGACGTTACTACAATTGTTGGAAAGCTGAATTATTTCTCTTCAAAACTATATCGATATTTGATATTTCATGCTTTTCTAAGGAATAAATAAATAAAATCTTCCCAAACTATTTTATTTTTTATCGCCAAGCCTAATTTGTTTGCGGGAGCCAAGGCAGAAATTTTGATCAAAACATTTTTATTTTTCGATTAGTATGAAAATTTGTATTTAAGGGTTTTTCGAGGTGCAAAATACAAATCTCAACTTAGTTTCTCCTTAAAAAAAAATATTTGAAGCTATTTACTTCTTAGGTCAGTACTATTTGTTTCAATATTGAACACATACTTTAGCTGCATGCTAAATATATATACTTTTTTAAATCGGGTGGGTATCAAAAGTATGATTATATGCACAAAATCTAGTATTTTGCCGACATTCAACTTGAAAGTAAGAAGGAAGCATTTATTGCACACATATTACATCATGAAATAAATTGTTTTTTGGGATGAAAAAATATGATGTTCATTTTTCGCACTTCTAAAAACCCTTAAATAACCATTTTCATTGCATTTGAAAAACGTAAATTTTTTCACCTCACGTCCGTAACCTCTCCTTGTAAGCTTTAAGGATTGACTTGAATGATGCTTTATGCGTATTATAAAATTTCACTTTAAATTTGTTGAGAAGATTAATTAATATTGAATCATAAAATAATTAACAATACTGGTCTAAATTTTGTTAATAAATTATAACTATAATAAATTATATTAATAAAAAAATGTATGTATTAAACTAGATGTATCCTAACTTTGTAATTTAAAGTAATGTAAAAAAATTGTAATATATTGAAGATTAATTACATTATAATTCTGTACATACTGAAATTTAGTGGGAACTTGTAAACGACCATGATTTAGCAGTGTGTGTTGCATATCATTACTATTTCAATGAATGAATGAAATTTAGTTGAATAATTGATGTATTTTTCATTTCAGGAATTTACCTCGTGCCATCTATATCTCATTGCCTTTAGTCACCGCTATTTATGTGTTAGCGAACGTTGCTTATCTTGCAGTTTTGACTACTACACAAATTATCGCATCCAATGCTATTGCTGTGGTATGTGTTCATTTAATATGATTTCTTATTTCATATGCTGTTTTTTTCTTCACTTGAGTATAAAATCTAAACTTAAAATTTTCAAACCACCTTATTATCTTTCTAATATTTTTTAAAAATTAGTTTGACCTTCCACTATTTCAAATATATTAATATTATCAAACGTTAACATTTTATTTTTACTAATGTTACAGATTTTAAAATGTATTTTTATTAGATTAAGTAAATGCAATGAATTCAACACTTGGAAAACAAATTAAAAATATGCTATTTCATTCTTAAATCTAGTGTAAACAAAAAAATGATAAATTAAAACATGTAGTAATTTGTGTAATTCATGAAGAATTAAACAACTAGTACATTATATTTTATTGAATATTTAATAGTTGATCATTGCATTATTAAGGAAGGAGATGGTCTGGGGTCCCTGGTCATCTCTTTTCTTAAATTATATTTTAATTTGTTTAACCTATCCTTTAATTTATAGATCATTGGTAACTACTTCATCAATATTTACAAATTTAGTTTACTTCGTTTGTTGATATTATTTCGTCATCAGTGGTTTGGAATTCCAACACTAAATTTGTACCTTTTAGAAAATATATGAAATAAAAAATAATACTTATTCTGCGACAAATCATGCCCTATGAACCGAATCATATTGAATCCCTATGGAAACTTTAAGTGTAAATTAAATTTTCAACTATAGTTTAGTGTGCATTCTCATTGTTTCAGACATTTGGTGATGCTGCAATGGGATATTTTGCCTGGACTATGCCTTTTCTAGTAGCCCTTTCAGCATTAGGAGGATTAAGTGTTCACATAATGACATCTTCAAGGTTAGACATCCTTATTTTTAAAAAAATGTAGTGGTTTTTAGTCATTAACCTTATTAATATTTAATATTAGCTATATTTTTTAATATGATTATATTTCTTTCAGAATGTGCTTCGTAGGAGCAAGATATGGTCATTTCCCAACAATGTTGTCTCATATTAATGTTAATAAGTATACTCCGACACCATCTCTTGTTTTTCTTGTAAGTATTCAATGATCTGTGCTACTAATATTCAAGTGTGTCGTCTTGTATTGTAAGGAATATTTCTTTTAGTTATTTTATTCTTTACTCTGTATTTTTATTAAATGTTTTATATTGAAATGTAGAAAGTAGAAATATTCCTCAAAGTCTGTTCGCTATTATATAATATTATGTATTTGTTATTTCCTTGTGAAAATATTTTCAATATTTAATAAGTTTTTGTTGTATTTCATATACTGTACCATTTATTTCATATACTGTAACATAATTTCTCCTTTATTACAATTTATAGGTGCTTTTGAAAATTTAAATACATTTTTATAAAATTAAAAAGTAATAAAATGAACAATAGGTGGATCTAAGAGTTGGAGGGAAACAATACGACAAAAATTTATTAAAGATTAATATGATTGTAGTTCGTTATATATTTAATAATATCTGTATTTTTTTCAGGGGATTTTATCACTGATAATGTTATGTACAAGTGATGTGTATCTACTGATTACATATTCCAGTTTTGTGGAATCATTTTTTATTATGCTGTCTGTATTGGGACTGATTTGGTTGAGATATAAAAAACCAGATATGCCTCGCCCGATTAAGGTATAATGGCTTAAGATTAATTGACTTTGGTTGATCATGATATTTACTGACATACTTTATTGTTTATTAATATAGCACTGCCAACCGGATCTTATTTTGAAAACAACTAAATTCTTGTAATAAATATTTTCAGTTTGTAACAGTCCCATTTCTTGTTGCTGATTGATTATTAGAAATTTGTTATAATAATTTTTTTTTTAATATCGAGTTATTTAAAATTAAGTATAAGTATATTAAGAATAAGTCTATTCTTTTCTGCAACTCGTATGTTGATTTTTTTATTTATAACAGCCTTTCATGCATTTTTTTTTTTTTTTAATGCTTCATCAACAATTTAGAAATTTATATAATTTGCTCAGATTATTGATAATGATAATGATCTCAGGAAATACATTTTTTAATACTTAACCATTTTGCTGTGATAAGTATTATGTCAAAGCATGAAATTGATATATTTTTGATTCTAAGATCTATCTAGGTTTTAAAAATATGAAACATAGCTCTTTAGATTATTTGGAGCTTAATTTGAAAATGCACCGAATGCCATCAATATTATTATATAGGCAGCAGTCTATTCAGTTTATTTTGTCTCTTTATAAGTTGTTGTGCATCAGAGAGATATAAATAGTACCTTAGTTTTATCCATATATAACTATTCCATGATACTGATTATTTATCACATGATAATACTGCATGATAAATATTCTGGATGATGTTTCTAAACAAACCTTTTTTTTTTTTTGTTTATGACATTACCTTGAATAGGTTCTCACTGTTTTGTGTGCAAATTAATGCTTTATATGAAGTAAGCTGGAAAAAATAAATCACTCAAAGTATTGCTCATCACTTCTTCTTCTTCTGTCTCCTGTCATCAACAAGATTAAAATCATTATTTTTGAAGCACCAAAACCAGCCTCTACATGTTGTTTCGGACAGAGCATGCTACACCATAAATCTTTCTTTTGAATGAAATAGTGCAATAAAATTTCCCGCAAATACTTTTTACTTGGTACAAAACTCAATATTTATAGAATTAGGAAAAAAATATTTATATTAAGGTGAACTAACATACACCTAAGTCCAAGCTTACAAATAGAAGTTTTTGGAAAATTGTATAACCATCTGAAATGAAAGGCTCGTAGTATTAGTGTTGCCATCTGTTAAAAAATAACAACTTATTCAAGATCCTAATACATAATATTTAAAAAAAATGTTTGTTATATATACTATATAGACTTCACATTTTGCAGGTTTCATTGGCGGTTCCTATTAGTTTTGTGATTATATGTATATTTTTGGTAACAGTACCAATATTTGAAAAGCCTTTTGAAGTTGGAGTTGGTATTTTGATTACTCTGAGTGGGCTTCCTGCTTACTACTTTGGTGTAGTATACCAAAACAAACCAGCTTGGTTTACTCGCATGTTCAGTAAGTTTGTATTTTTGTAATTGTTTTATTTTAAAATGACTTTATGCTAATAAGAAATGAAAAAATAAATAATGGTGATGCCACTATTAAGTACCTATTTATTCATTTTTAAGTTAGTGCATTGTTATCATGCATGTATTAGGAATAAAAAAAAAGTACAAGGCATATGAGAATGATTAATTTTTACCTAATTATAAAGCAAATTAATTAGAAACACATTGAATGAAATAAAATGTAAATATTTATTAATATATAACAGCTTAAGAAATAAATAAAATTTTCTGGGACATGACATCATTGTCTGGTGGTGCCATATGTCTAAGAGGAGCTTTGCTTTAATCCCATAAAAAAAAAAATATATAATAATTAAACCAATATTTCTCCAGTATTATGTTTAAAAATAATTTCATTTTTATTTGACCAGTTTTTTTTTTTTAAATATTGATTTGATAATTTTTTTATTTTACAAATATTGATTTTAGTATTGATACATCCCCCTAAAAGAAAAAAGACCATTCTACTTACTGATTATACATACTGAAGCATTCTCGTTTAAATATGGCCACATGTCTCTATTAACTATTATAACAATTATGAATTATATTGTTATGGCATTTGTGTTGTGGAGTAGATCAGTGGTAATCTCTGATCTTCTAATGCTTTAAGTCCAGGTTCGAATTTTGGCTCATGGCAAAAAAATTATTTATTCTGTTTTATCAGCCACGGGGCGACGCTGGGATCATGAGACCCTCCTAGGGCACACCCAGCCTCTATAAAGTGGGCACCCGTAATTAATTATTAAGGGGGAAAACCTGGGGGTTGAGCATTACCTCAGTCTAATCACCTCCTTGTACAACATTTGATTAAGAAACAGTACCTTTTCTAAATAGTTCTGAACCCAAGACCCTTCATGACTTATAGTGGCGTGGGTTTTTTATTTAATTCTTATGGCATTTATCCACCATTTTAAGCTTCTTCAAATCTTACCAACAGTTATTTTAAAAAACGTGAACAATGTTTTGATTTCAGATAATGCTTGACAACATCTTTATTTTTTTGTTTTCAGATGGCCTGACATATGCTATGCAAAAACTGTTCATGGCTGCCAAAGAAGACCATCTTGAAGAAAAAGACTATACTTCGTAACAGTATAAAACTTTGTATATTATAAATACAAAACCTCAGCATTATTTAAGCAATGATACATCAAAGAATGTTAATCTATGTTTCGAATTCAGTATACATAGGGAATGTGTTAAGTTTTCATTTAAAGTGATACAGTAGGGCATTGATTTGATCAATTTTGGTATACATAAAAAATAAAAGAGAAACTTTTAATTTATGTTTAATATTTTAAAGTCTTTAATTCTAAAATTTAAAAAAAAAAAATGATTACGAAGTGATTCTATCGGACAATAAATTTATAAGAATGCTTCTTGTGTACAGCTGACTTGTGCTAAAACAGAAAGTGTAAACAAATTAAATAATTTAAATGATGTATAAAAAGTTATTATTGAGTTCTGAGAAGTTTAGTTATTCATCCCTACTGTTATCACCGTGATGTTTAAAATTTTGTCTGTCACAGATGCTAATAAGCAATATTTATAAAAGACCTTTTCACAGTTGTATAAGTCATGTTTAAACTGTATTTGTAATTTTTGTAAATATGTTGTTTTATTTTTTAAAAAGTTACTACCTTAAAGAAGAAAATTATGAAGTAATATGTCTCCTGTTTTATAGGAGTTTAATTTAATAAATATTTCTCTACGTTTTTGCTGTCTGTGATTTGCGCTTGTCTCAGTATTTTTTCAGTTCTAGAATTATTTAGTTTTAGTTATATGACCTGAGAGTCTAGTGGATGAAAATGATAGGAAAATTGATGGAGCTAAAAAACATGGCCAAATCTAAGATAGGAATAATAAAACTTATTACTTGAGATCTGTATTCTTAATACTTTTTTTTTTTTTTCAAAATATCCACTCAGCTCTTCAAGTGCATGTAAATTAAGTCTAACTTTGCAAAGCAGAGCTTTTGTAACTTGTCATATTGGCTGTTATCTCAAATTAATTTGTTATCTACAAGAAAAAAAAAATGTTTATGGAAAATATTCTATGTCATAATTTTGCCTCATGACTAATAAATATCAAACATCTCTTTTGAAAGATTTGTTAATTTCACTGGAAAGCTGTTTAGTAGTTATTTATAATTTTACAGTTTTTTTTTTAAACTATTTATTTGTCTGTAGGATACAAATTGTTATTATTACTATTATTTATTTGTCTTTAGGATAAAAATAATTTCCTTTCTTATTATTTATTTGACAAAATTTTGCATTTTGTTATGCCTTGTTTTGATTATATTCTGGTTTAGTTTTTATATTTTTTATTTATTTTATATAATAACTTATATTTATCTTGTTTTAATTGGATTCTTTGTTCGCACCTATGAGATCTTTTCTTTTTTAGGCACTTTGATTCGTTGTTTTGGATACATTACAATAAATTTAAGTCGATAAACTTCTAATTTTTGATGGTCATTTCCATCTCCTTAGATTATTGTGTTCTTTTTATTTGCTGTTCTCAAATAGTTAATTACTTTGGTACATACCATATTTTGTATACGTGTTTTTAAATTTCTTTAGTAGTGATAGTAATTAATACAGTTTTTAAGTAGAAGGAAACCATACCCTCGTTAAATTATCTATTGAATTATCATATTTTAAATTTTAATATGAAGAATTACATATAATAAGACAACCAAAGTTTAAAAAATTCATACAGCCTGGGTGTCAACCAGCCATGAAATATCTGGAAAAGTCAAGAAACTTCATTGTAAAAACACTGGAAGTTAGAGATTTTTCATAGGTGGAGAATGCGGGTGTAAATTTTATGTTATCATTTGGAATTCATAATTGGTCACATAATGTTTGCTTAGTTGTGATATATCCTAAAGTACGGAAGTGTCAAAATTATTACAGCGTGTTCATCCATTTTTTCAGTTATTATTTTTGTTTTATTTCTATCTTATTATATTCTTTAAATTATTTCTTATGAGACAGTATTAAGACATTTTTTTAATGACAAAAAAAATGTGTTTTTGCTTTGTTATTTAATTTTTATATTTAATTACAGATAATTTTTCTGTTTTAGTGCCCAAAAAACTGCTTTGTAATTTGTATTTGTCTGCAACGGTAATAAATTACATTGGCTGTAAATTGTAAACTTACATAACATAAAACAGTAGTCATTATCGTTTACCGCCTCATAATATTTTAAATGTTAGAAAAATAATTAACACGTTAGCTGCGGTTATGGTGTCTGATAGCTTTATATCAGATGTAATGGTTATTTACATTTGTATTTATCTTTACATCTATCCAAATCCTATTCAAATATTTTTAAAAATGTCCATTTTAGAGACTTCGTCAGATAGGCAAAATTCGAAACTATCCCACCTGAGATTGAAGGCCGAATTTCAGAACCTAGGGACCGTAGCCGCACCTAATGTTTTAAATTATATATATGTATATATTTTTCCCTATTTTATATTTATTGATGACCGGAAATTTGTTATTTGGAAAAATCATGGTTTTTTTTCCATAAAAAGGTTTTGGTTGACACTCTGTGTATTGATTATAATGACTTTAAATTTGATTCCAACAGTACTGATTTTGTAACTCACTTTTCTTAAAAATTATTTTAAAATAAATTATTTGGCTAAGTAAAAAACTTAACCAATAATATTTTATATCTCGTGATTCATCTAAAAACTTTTTTATTGTTAACTATTTTTAATTTATTATAACATTAAAATATATATTAAATTTAAATTATGCTATCTGCTAACTATGCTGATTATTTCATTTGTACGTTTTTCATGAATTTCAATGAAAATCATTCCAATTAATTGTTGAATAGAAGCATACTGTTATTTGTTTAAGGAAAAATTGTTCCAAATTTCCTATATCTAAACTTTACTTCTTAAAATATATAGATCATCTTAGTTTTTTATCATAAGATGGATTACATTCTAAATTAATATTATTGATATTTCAGTTAAAATTGCTTTTGCTCATTTTTTTGTTTATCACACATTAAAGTTACGAACGAGCGAAACTTGCTGAGTTTTTTTTTAAAGGGTTTGCATTTCAATAATTATTTTATGAAAGCTTAATTCTTATTTTTTTTTTAATCTTAGAATAAATGACATTATCCTTATTAAAATTAATATTAGGAAATGAAAGCAAATATTAAATATTTTTTTCAAGGTACTATTAACACTAATTAACATGGACCAGTAAATATGGAAACAATTATTTTACTTGGCAGTAGTAGTTTATAAGTCAAATTTTGTGATTTTTTTCCTTTATAAAATTGAATCTCAGTTTTATAAACATTTTATTATTTATTTTATGTTTAATTTAATTGTACATTAAAGTATACTCAAATTGTATTTTTTATATTTTATTTCATATATCTTTTTTTTAATATTTATTTTTGTGACCAAAAATCTTTATAAATAATTGTGCCTATTTTTTTTTTTTAATGTATGGATCTCACTTCTTACCTAAGCAACTAATTTATTTTCATTTAGGTTACTTATGTGTAAATTTATTTAAAGAAATATAAGAATCTGATTAAATCATCAAAAGTTTAAATTGTTCTTTTTTTAATTTGTTAATTAATAAAAGATACTGTCGAAAGATTAGTTACATTCTTCCCCTCTCATCATTGAGGACTAATTTTAATTGGTATCTCATTTTTTTGTTGACCACTATTTTTGTTATTGTAAAATATTCTTTGAAAACTATTTGAGATATTTATGTATTACTTTTCTTAGTTTATAAGTATGTATAATAATAAAAGGCTTAGCGAACCCGAAGGTTCGATGCCGACACCACCAATCGCTTATTAAACACCTCCCTCCACCGTTCGCCGTCCAAACCCAGTTCCTTCAGATCAGCTTTAATGCAATCTTCCCACCTTCGCTTCGGTCTACCCCTCGGACGCTTACCATTCAGCACAGCAAATATTAACCTTTTAGGAATTCTCTCGTTACTAAGCCCAACAACTTTACAAGCCCATTTGATTCGCCGGTTGAAATTACCTCAATTATATTACCCGGATACAGTTCACGCAATATAAATATGTATACAGTAGATGATTTGTTTTACCCACAGAATGTGTCAATTCCTATTTAGTATCAGTTATTTGATAGAGGTGAAATCATAGTTAAAAACCACAAGATTCATAGTTCTTGACAATTCTTCTTCAAGAAAATTATTAAATTAAAAAGAAATATTTAATGTAGGAGTAAAGATTAAGATGTTACAAGCAAGAAAAAATCTCTAAATTAGTTTTTGAATTGGAGGATGAAGGTAAAAGAAAATGGGTAACATCTTCACAATGAATAGTTGTAAACATTTGCTATTTTATTTTATTTTTTAAATATTGCTTATAGAAATTTTTCTTTATAGTCAATTATATAAATTTTACTATGTGTCAATTTAGAAAATGCCTCAGACTAGTTAAGCATTGAATCGAAATTTTTTAAAGTGATGACTTCCCTCTTTTTTTTTCTACCTCGCCTATAAGGCTATGCAGGATTTTCCTGGGCCGGCGGAGGGTGAGGGCGGGGAATTTAAAATCCCCTCTGGCACCGGGATGCGAACTCATACTTTTTAATCTTCTCAAATCTCTTATCCGGTTGCCAGGCAACTCGCGGTGCAGTGCACACGCTTTAGCCCATTCGGCCACCCCGCCCTTATGATGACTTATGACATCCCTCTCTCTCCTTTTCGTTACAAGTGGGAGGACTTAAAAGACTTATTATTTTAAATAGTGCTAGTTTTTTTATTTTTTAAATAACCCCTATCCACCATTTCTGGCATAAGGAGAGTAGTGAAGATTGTCCTAGAGGTACAACCAAACCTATTCTTACCAGAGTGAGAGGGTCGAGTTTCATCCAGTGCGTCCGTCACGGTATAAAAGTCAATCTTTAACTGGTGTCACTGGGACCGGGCAACGCTCCAACACACCCTGCCTCCACAACGTCACATAGTGCTTCTAGTTGGCTATTGAGAAATATTTATGCAAACACCAGATATATTAGCCTCTAGGAATCGTACAATTTTTTTTTTTCTGGCATGAATGCAACCCACCCTCATGGACACCTCTTGTGCTCTGTTCCTTGCTACTTTAGACTTGTAGCCTTAGCCTTATATTGATTGATTACAGTGAAGCAACCGAGGCATCACCCTTGGGTGCCGGCCGATCTTCAGGATGATTTGCCACTTGTTAGAAATAAAAACAAAATACGATATGTATTAAAATAATTAATTTTAGTCTATCAATAAAGCAACTGTCATAGAGAAATGTTGAATTAAATAAAATTCAAATATTACATAATATAACATAGGTTAGGAAATAAATTAAATTTTTTTAGGGGAGAGTTAGATAATGTCAGTACCCAGGGGAGGGGGAGGGGCTTCGAACATCCAAGTTTGGCACTGATTGATTAAGCTGAAAGAGGACTACCGCTGTTGGGCTAATGAATTTGTTTCATCAAATTTAGTTAGTGTTTGTGAAAAACGCCTTTCTTATTATTCACCTACTCATGGGACATAAGGACTTCTGAGCAAAACCACTTCTTGGGAAGGAGAGTAGAAGGCGTTCTTGGGGAACAACCAGAAAAAGGAGGGCAGAAGTGGACAGAGGCTGAACTGATGAATGAGTAAGGTATGTACACAACTCAATATTAATATTCTGTACTGCAACTGTGAGAGGTTGCATACGCCTCCTTGACATGTTTGCAGAATAAAGAACCAAAATTTGCTGAAATAAAGGGGTACAAAATAATTATATTTGAGGCCAAACATGCAACGGTATTTGATAAATACAAAATAACGATCTTTGCAGCTCTTAGAGGGGATCTATAATCATCTACGGACATAAAAAAGTACAAAACATTTTTTATAGAGGTGCATTGGGGAAGCCCGAAAAATTTGGCGGAAATTAGTGAATACAAAACGATTGTTTTTCGGGCCAATCGTACAACAGTACTATATTCAAGGCCCTCAGAGGGGGTCCTCTAGTCATTCTAGGGCGATAAAAAAGTACAAAACTTTTATGTTGGGCTCATCAGAGGGCCCTAAAAAAATTTGTGGAAATAAACGAATACAAAACAATTATTTTTGGGCACCAAACATACAATGGTACTAGATAATAGAGGCGGATCCACGGGAGGAGGGTAAGGCTTTCCGACTGAAGGAAGCCCTCCTCTCCAAAATGGTAAAATATAACCATGTCTTACGAAAAAAATATATCTCAAAGTATTATTGTTCGTGTAATTACATTTAACAGGACTTCGAGAATCATTTAAACACCATTTCATGAAGGTAGTTTCTTTCTTTTTGTCACCCAAAAAATTAAATCCTGGATTCGCTAGTGCTAGATAAATACAAAACAATGATATCGATCAGAGGGACACCAAACATTTGCGGAAATAAACTAAAACTAAAAATTATTTTTAGGGTACTAAAAAAATATAGGACAATGATTTTGGAGTCCCTTTCGGAGATCTAGTCTCGGGGTTCGCTGACTATCCGACTTGACCAGACCAGGCCTGCATAGGTGCAATGAAATAATTTAAAAAAGATGGTTAGTTGTCTTGTTCATAGCAGGCATGTTTCAAGTCATTTCTCGAAATCATTCCAGCATTGTATTATAAATAATATAGTCTATAAATCCTTGGCGATTTTCATATAGCTTAGTGGTATCATGGATCGTAGGTGTATTTTTTAAATTGTCTACCTTATGCCAAAATAACACACCATGTTTATAAATAAGCGATGTTACAAAAATCTAAATCTGTATATTGCATTCTCTAACAATAAGATTCAGATAACAAACAATAAGGTGGCGAATGCCAACGGAATTTAAGGGGGGTATGCTTTATATTTTTGAAAAGGTTATTTTATTTAAAAGTTATTATTACTATTTTCATCAGTTAATAATTAATTTATTTCTATTTTGAGTAGTAAACATTTATTTTACTTTCAATTTAAAAAAAAAATTAAATTATTGAATTCTTGAAAACTTCCAGATCCACCAAAACTGAACAGTTCCAGCAACCAGCAATTATCAGTCCCATCTTAGGGAAGTATCCTTGTAGTGGTTTAGAATTTCTTAAATATGTGGTCAGTTAATCTCAAGAAAGAAGAAATTGTTCTGGAATATTCTACTCTTTGAAAGAAAGTACGTTAATGCATTCATTCTTGCCACCTTTTAGATATTTTAGACATTATTTTTACAATATATATTTTAAATATTTTCAAAAGTGACAAAATATTTTTAAAATATATTCAAATTTTTATTACTTTAAGTATTTATTATTTTTTTTATAAATAAACATTTAAATTTTGCATAGGCAGTTTCTTTTAGAAGTTAACTGATTAATAACATATTTTATACTTATTAATGTGCATGTCTTTATTCGGTAAGTGTTATATTAAAAATTATACCTACATACGCAACAAAAAAACTGCATGTGAAATGAGTATTTTAAACAGCTGACAATCAATTAAATAATTATTGTATGCAATTATTATAAGACAACTTACAGAGAAAGCAGATAAACAGATCAACGCAAGATTTGTGGACTCGACTATAGTGTTAAACTGATTAAAGAAACAAAACTTGACAAAATTCATAGAAGAAAAATGATTTGACACATTCTCATAAGGGAATCTAAAGTAAATGCTTTGGTGCATCAAATAAGGGCTGAAAAACAGGGAGTTGAATCCTTGAAGATTAAAAATTCCACTTGAATTCGTTTTCATTTCAGGAAAAATCGGGAATTATGCTTGAAAAATAGCCTGTTGGGAATTTTTTTTTAAATCTAATTATTTAATTTTCCCATTAGTATTCAGCCAAAATTGTATAAAGTTTGAAAAGAGCGTTGATGCTGTAATTATTATCCTCACATAAACTATAAAAAACGAGTCCATACATCACTGAAATTTGGGTAATGAAATTGTTATGCTTATGGTTATGAATTTTTTAATGAAACATTACAATTCTGGGACTACCTGTTACGCACCGAGGCTAAATATTTTTTTGTTCAATTACTTTTTTTCAACTTGATAAATTGTTTAATTACTTTTTTAATTTTTTTCCCCATTTTTATATTCATTTATCTATTTATAAGTTATAAAAAGTATAGGCTCAGCTTATTATTGTCTTTTTATTGTTTTTTCAAAATCTAATTAATCAAGCCCTTCATATGAGACTGTCTAAAAATTCCTTATCATGGTTACATGGATTTTATTTACATAATAAATTATAAGTAAATGATTTTGTTTGATAAAATAAGTTTTGAATACAATTTAAGCAAATTTTATTTATAAACAGTTATTAAATTATTGTTTTTATGTTGTAATATTATTTTTATATTTTAGGGGATAGGATATGCTGTTGATATAACAAATAAGGTAAGAATCTTTTTCTTTTTCGATGAAAAATATATTTATTATGATTACAACATTCATTCAGAAGTTCTAATCATATATTTTATTAGCAGGTGATGAAATATAGAATTTTATGTTTCCAAATCCACTTAAAATTTAGTTCAATGAAATTATGAAAAACTGGTTGGATTTCACACAGTTTTCAGCCTTTAAATTCTTGAATGGTGCTTGAATTATTTCATGTCATATTGCTAAAAAGCTAAAATTATAAGAATCAGTGGGGAAGATGGGAGAGGTGATGGAATATTTTAATTGTGACTACATCGGAGAAAATGGATGGTTTCAAGTACTGCGGTACCTGCATAAATCATCAATGAAATGATGAAATGAATCAACATAGATAAAAAGAAGTAAGCAAGAAAGTGCTTAAATGCTATCAAGAAAGGATTCCTTAACAAGAGAGGATTGAGTAAAGAGACCAAAGCAACCTTATAGAAGAAACACTTTTCTCACATAATGACCTACACCTGTGATTTATTGACCATCACCACTAAGCAAAGAAGTAAAATGTAAGCCATGAAGATGCAGAGGGGCTACATATGAAACTCTACATACAAAAACTGATGGCTCAGGATGACGGGAGGAGGCGGTCAGAAGAGGAGTTGATTGGAGTAGGCAGCAGTTGGTATACAATTTGGATTTATTGATTTGGCTCCAAAAGAAGGCACCTCAGACTGATCAGGGGTAGAAGAAGTATGCATAAGAAGAAAAAACATTTTAATATTTATAACGTAATAATGTAAATTTCAATTTATGTTAATTTTCTTTCATTGTTTATATGGTATATTGATTTTAGGTTGTTTTGAATAAGGAGAAGGACTTATTAAATATTTATTGCATGAATTAAAACTACTAATGCTAGTTTATTAAATTTTATTAGAAATAAAAATTTACACAGTATTTGGAATAACACAACTATTTCGTTAGTGAAGTTCATTTATTCATAACATAGCAGTTTTCTATTTTATGAGAACTTCTTTTGATTACTAATTCAAAAATTAGTAATAGTGATGAATATAAAAAATTAGTTTGCATTCTCAGGGCTATCATTCTTAGTCCATGTGAAATAATCTAAAAATAAATAATAATCATAAACACGTAATAAATTGAATTTAAAGTTTTTTAAACATAAGTGGACTTATAAGGGAACCTTAAATTTAGCTTCAGGATGATTAATTGATTTATCCACATTTAAATGTTAAAACTATTACAATTAATAAAAAAAAAAATTCCTTAAAAAAAGGTACTTATTTTTTATCATTAGTCATAACATTTCTTTGATTTTTAACTTAGTACCAATTTTATTATAAATTTTTGAAAGTATGTACTTACAAATGTTTGTTTAAATAACTTTTCATTATCAATCAAAAATTATTTTTGTTTATTAAGATTTTCATATTGAAATGTTATTGGACCAAGCTGAGTTTAGCTAATTGTGAGTAAAGAGATGCTATGTCAGGCCGCACCAATGATCCTGGAATAAATTAAAGAATTAGCAAAATATATTCAATTTATCTATTTGCCGACAGTTTTTTTGTTACCTTTGTGGTTTCGAGGAATGTTTTTTGCATTTACAAATATTGTTGGAACGGCATAATCAGGAAATCTCAATAATAGTTGTGACCTCATAAAGTTTGAATCGAGTGTCTTGCCTTTTTTCATTATTACTGCTGCAGCAATCTATAAAATAAATTTTAATTAAAAAGAAATAGACCATTTTACCATATTGATTTATACATTTTAGTGAAAATCTTTTTCTCTAAAAAATAAAATAGAAGTCTTTAAAATATTAATTTCAATTTATACCTACAAGATAAATACTACTTAATTTTGCTCAAAGTAATTTATTGTTATATTGTGCAGGAGAGAGGAATAGGCAGGTTTTTTTTTTATGTTTACAGTAGTTTACAGGCTGATCAACAGAGGAGAGGAGCTTTCGGACTGAAGCCCTTACCTTCCCCCCCCTCCACTCCTTCCCAAAAAAATTGTAAAATATAACCATGTTTTATAGAAAAAATATATAAAAATTATCTCTTAAAGTATTATTGTTCGTGTAATTACATTTAATAAGACTGTAAAAATCACTTAGACACTATTTCATATAGATAGTTGGTTTATTTATTTTTTTTCCAAAGAAATTATCGTTATAAATATGAAAAAAAAAGTGTTAAGGCTGAAGCTCCCTCTCCCTCCCTCCCCAAAATAAAATTCTGAATTCACCAGTGCAATAGTTAGTGTTATATTTCTACCAATATAGTTGTTACATTTTGTGCACAATATAGATTGTTCTATTTTATCAATAAGAATTAGTTACATTACTTAATTGAACATCTTTTTTTAAATATTAAAATATACTTTATTACGTATACCGTTGAATTTCCATCTTGTAAGTAGTGAAATGCTGCCACATCTTGAACACTTGGGATATCCAAAATGGCAGCTTCAATTTGGAGGAGGGACACTTTATATGATTTAGATTTAACTATATCACAGTTATCTTTTCCAAGGATGTTATAGACTCCACGATTGTAACTTACAATGTCACCTAAACAGACATAAATATCTTATTTTAAATTGTAAATGCCTAATTTGAATAAGAATTAAATGATTGACAAATGATTTTTTAGTAATTGGAAATTTTACCAAAACTTATTTTTTATTAAAATGATATAGTAATCGTTCATTTGTTTTAAAAAGTAATTTATACAATCATATTTGGTCTATTAAAACTTTATTTTATAGCAAAAATGCAGCATAAAGACATAATATCAACAAAATGAAGAATTAATGATAAGGGCTGTGTTTAATTTTTTAATATTAATTAAAGGGTCTCACCATAGTTTTATAGAATGAAATATGCAAATTATAATTATATAGTTTATATATAAATTGAATGATATTTAAAGTAAACATATTGAGAGTTTAATAAATGGCAAGTTTTCCACAATTAGTCAGTTGTTTTTCGCTGCAAGACTGGGATGGGGTATTACTAGCTTTACTACAGTACACATTTTCAAAGAGGGCAATCAAATATTATGATACAAGAAGTGAATGACCTCTTATTGTTATTGGGTAGTTTATGTTATAATTATGTCCAGGTATGAGTTTCATTTTGACTGAGATAGCAATTCAAATTGAATCTATTAAAATATGATTATTCTGTAAAATTATTGTTTTATTGATACAGAGAAGTTACCTGTTCTGAACCATCCATCCTTTGTCCACAAATTATCTATTGTCTTTCCCCAATATTTTCTAGCCAGAGTATCACCTTTAATCAACAGGGTTCCAGCAACCGGACTCGTTACTCCTAATATCTATAATAATTAAGATACATTGATCTTAAATTATATCATCAATTTTTGTTATTTATCTAAAAATATCTTTGCAATATATAGAATTTCATACTCTGTCATTAACATTATTAATTTTTATTAATCATTCAATAATATACTCTTACTCGTTTATTATTTAATGTTATCTTTACCCTAATACTCTTTATCACACATCTTTTAACTTCATTCTAATCATTATTATCATATCATGTTAAATATTTGGTATGATAACATCTATTACTTATACTAACAACTCATTTTAATTAAAGTGTTAAATAAGTATTGTCATCTATTGGTTTTCTATTCATATAAGAATTAATTTGTCACCAACCTTTGTCCCGGAGTTGTCACCTTCAGCAATGACTGTGTCTCCATCTTCTGCAATAATCTTCATTCTAATTGAAGGGACTGGAAGTCCTACGGTACCTTAAACATAAAGACCAAGATAGGGTTTCAATAATTGTCTGTATTATTATTGGTTGTCAAGACATTGATTGGTAGTATATTGGGAAGTATTAGTTATTTATGAAGAAAAAGTAATAATTTTTTTGTGGGAAGATAGAGGTAGAAATAAGTATTAAAATATTTTTTTTTTGTAATAATCTTTTCTTTTTTAGTATATCCATTGTCCAAAGTAGGAACAGTAAACAACCTTTTTTGTTATTTTCAATTTAAATAAGTTGTAATTAGTTTTATTGGCTGTTATATAAATTTGTATATATAATTTTTCGCCTAGTTACATATGCATAATTACCAAATACATTTGCAGTTCCTGTAGTAGGTGTAGAAACAATGCCAGCTTCGGTAATGCTGTATACTTCTATAAGCTGATGACCTGAAAATAAAATTCAACTGGTATTACAGTTTGAATAATGGCACAGAATTTTATAAAAGTGTCTGTGTTAGATTACTTAGAGGATAGAATGTATAGAATAATTTACATTAAGTTATATTTACGTTGAATATTAATTTTATTCTTTTCTATTTATTTTCAGTATTATTTTAATTATTTAATTCTTAAATTTACTGAGCTATACTTCTATTTTATTTTTTAAAAAAGACGTAAGAGGTCTAGTTCAATAAATGGGCTCAGGGTAAAAGTATGGATGACAAAAATATTTACTAATAAACATTTATATCTACAGCCAAGCTGCCGAAAGAGAGATATTGAGAGTCTTTCCATCAGTGCCAGCCTTAGATATTTGGTGCCCCATGGCAATGAAGCGACTTCACCATTTTTTAATTAATATAATTGAATAGTAATTCATAGTATTGTATTTCATTCAATATTGTGTTTAATTCAGTTGCTTTATTAATGGGCTAAAACTAATTATTCTCATACACTGTGTAATTTATTTTAAATTTCTAACCAGTGGGGCGCCTCCCTTCAGGCTGTCACTCCTGGGAAAATTCCTGAGTTGATCTGCCCCAGGGGTGGCATTCCTTACCATATAGTTTATTATTTTATTAAAAAGAACTAAATGAAGCAAAGAAAAAAGTGCTAAATGGGATTATATTAATGAACGATCTCTAAAATAATGGAAACTTCCAGACATCCGTAAAAGTGAGCATGCCAGGAAAAAAGCTGTTGCACTGAATTCCAGAAATTGAGAGAGAAATAATTGATTTCAAATATTGAAAAACCAACTCAAGATGGGAAAAGAACTCTGTTGTCATTATTGGAAGATGTTTTCAAACCAATGGATCTATGAAATCGCAAGAGCAGATATCATGGATTCATAAATCGAACCATGACCCTATGGAGTTGAATATGTTTATTGAGATCTTTCATGCACTACTCCAAATTGGAGCCCTTGCACTCCGTCTGACCGGGCCCTACAGTGGAAGACCCAAAAGTGAATAATGCTTGTGATCAAATACTCCCCCTTCAGCCATATGTTCCACAAATTTTCAATTGTAGTATCATTTTTTTACTTTTTAGAAACTAAATTTGTTCCTTTTGCTATGATTTGATGATTATTAACAAAGTTATTTGTGCTACTGCAATAAATTTGATTGTTTTTACCTAACTATTTTTTAATATAAGTTACAATTAAATTCCTAAAGGCTATAAAAATATATATTAAACAACTATTTTGCAGAAATACAATACAAATATTACATAGAGCATTTCATCATCTTATTCCCACAAAAAAAAAAAAAAAATTAAAATTGACAGAAAATTTAAATTATGTCCGTAAAATAAAAATTTTGCAGATTTTTTATTTTCTAAATATTTTTAGTTTTTGCACTTACAGGATTTTTTAGCATGGATGTTTAAGAATCACAAATTAATTTTGGTTATCTGCAAATAATTTATATTGATATTTATTTTTTTAGTTCATCCAAAAACTTGAGGGACTATAAAACATAAAGACTTATTTATTGAAAACCAGATCCCAACAATTTTATCGGATTACAATATCGGTATGAAAAATAGAAACACTATCAACCTAGGCTCTTGGTTATAAAATTGATACAATGTTAGGAAGAAGTTAATGAAAACAATTGTAGTATATTTATATTTTAGTCAACTATCCATGCACGAAATATTATTAAGTAGTGACTATTTACTATGTTCATTCATTAATTAATCGATCTTTGGTTCATCGCTCTTGAATAATCAAGAATATAATCTGATTTGGATAGCATGCATCTACTCTAGTTGTTTTTTTTTATTACCCCCTATCTTGCTATTTATGGCATGCGGGGAGAGGGGATTGTAGATTTACTACTAAACCAATTTCAATCAGAATGGAAAGGTCGAGATTGATCTGTGAGTTCGCCACTACTCGAGAATGTTAAAGCGGTTAATGATTCAACACGATATGTCATCATGATATCAATTCACTTTGATTTGTCAAATATTACTCTAAGAAAGATTCTTTAATATTGTTTAATATATAATACAAAATTAGCTAAATAACTTGCCTGTGTATGCCTCCCATTTTTCATGGATCGATCTTGGTATTGGTGCACACATTGATATCATAAGTCTACAAGTTGATCATTAATAAATTAATAATTGATCTGATTTTTAACAATATCATAAAAAAAAAAAAAAAAATGAATTATCATATATTTACATACCTTTTTACAGTAAATGTCATAATAATGATTACATGCTAACTATGACGTCTTTTATAGATTGATTAGTTTGTTGTGTAATTTAGCAATATAAGTTATGGCAGCACAGCTTGTAAATGAATCATTTCTCCATCTCTTTGTACCCAATAACCAACATTTAGTTGCAGTTTTATGAGAAGGTATTTTGATATAGAAATATTTCATGTGAGGATTATATTTTTTTAAAATATATTATTTTTTGTATAATTTTTTGGTTTTGAAGTCAAGTTTTACTTTGAGGAATTTTTACTTGAAGTATAAAAATTCTAATCATTTTTAGTCCGTGGCTATGATTGATTTTGTCCTGTAATTGAGTTTATATTATGTGATTCTCAACAGAGTAAGAATTCTTGATATGTTGGAGTTTTGATGCTGTCGAGCTTTTAAAATAGAGCTTGTATATAAGAATAGAAAGCTTGTCTCTAAAAATCTTAGATTATAAATTTAGTTTCAGAAGTTATTTTATGAACTTTTTGAGACTGTCAGCTCAGTATTGAATTAACTATCATATTGGCTGATTGGGATGACTTGACTTGGTATACAAACATATTTTTTTTAATATAGGTATTCTCCTTATGAAATCTTGAAGTGCCTAATAAGAGTTGTCTGTTTGATTAGTTTTCAGTAAATGAATATATACTCTCTAAATGTTAAGAAATCCTTGATAAGTATTTATATTACCTTATTTTTTGGGTACAATTAGTTTTTATGTATTCTTCCATTTTTCCACTTTTCTTCAAATTTGTTTCATATTCATCTATCAACCTCCTGTACATCCAAGATTCTCCAATAAAAAAGTTCATATTGGTGGAACTTTGAAATGAAGGCTTCTTTATACCTAGCAGTTCCGACCACATTTCAGCTGCTTTAAATTTTTCCACTAAGATGACACTGTATAGAAACAAATAACATTAAATAGTATTGCTATAGCTATGAGTATTATTAAGTCAAATTCATCCTCATTTGTTCATTGAATCAAAAACATTTTTTTTTGTCAATTATTTTTGCAGCAGTATTTAGTAAGTTCCCTTTTTAAATTTTTTTTCTAATAATTTTATTTTAATTTAAAAAACGTATATTTTTAAGAATTGATAATAGCATTTTGAAACCCCAGAAAAGGTCATACTCCCTTCTTCATTTTATTGATGTAGCTTATTATAGAAAATTTTAGCTAATATAGATTTTTGTTTTTCAAAGTACATTACTTAGTGTTTGATCCATTTTATTTGAGTTACGAAGGGATAGCTTAGGTTAATAATAAGATTGATGGACAATTTGTACATAGTGAGATTTCCATTCACATTGTTATGTAATGAATTTAAATATGTATTAAATTGAAAGATGTTTAATTGATAATTAATTTAATTTAATTCATCACCTGCAAGAACCAAGTAGAAAAATATATCAAAGCCCTTTAAGCTGCAGGAAATTGATGTCTAGACAGTGTACAGAGGCTGCTGCATTGCAAAAATTTGGCAAGAAGGACAAAAACTATAATATATAAAACGATTGTGAGGCCTGTTGTGGCATATGGAAGTGACATTGCCCATGACTGAGGAAAGCAATAGGATACTTCATGTATGGGAAAGGAAAGTACTCCGGAATATTTATGGGCCAATCAAAGTGGAAGCTCAATGGAGAATTGCATCTAACCTAGAGCTAAAAGAGCTTTATGGTGAACATGACATTGTTAGAATCATTCAACTCAACAGATTGCGATGGTTGGGGCATGTGGAAAGGATGGACCCAACAAGAATGGTGAGAAAACTTCTCTGTGGAAAGCCGTGAGATGGAAGAAGGTGTGGAAAGCCGCGGCACATATGGTTGGACGAAGCATGTAAAGCGGTCGAGGCGTTTTGCTGCTGACTGAGATATATGGAAGAAGACATTAGCAGAGGCCATGTTCTTCAAGGACTGTAGAGCCCAGCAATGAATGAATGAATGGATAACAAAAAGGAAATATAATCAATAAATAAAGGAATATTACAGAATGATTCATTATTTAGAAATTCTTTTCTGGCTAGTAATCCTTCTAGGAATCAAGAAAGAACAAAGGTTTGAAACAATAGTTTCCGATGGGTCATGAGGTTTCCAATAACTATCTGAATTGGGCAGAATTAGTAACATATGGAACATTATGATATTCATAGATGATTTTGTTTGTGAAATCATTAATGAGCATTAAGGATTTTGGATTATAGAGAGCAGACACCAGAAGAATTCTGTGGCTTGTTAGTCTCCAAGCTGAACTCCTTAAGTTTATGTATGCCTCATAGTCATGCTAATAAGTCTTTTCCAATTAATTTGAAGCTTAGAGCCTTTGTATAGAAAGTACTGAAGCTGTTAGCTCACATCAACGTGTTATTTCAGTCTTGTATGATTAATCCTAGTAAATTTTGTCAAGGTGAACTCCTATGTAGCAGAAATGTTCAACGGGGATAAGTGAAAGATTAAAGAATATTAAAAGACAAAACGTCATAGGTTTATGGTTGATACCAAGACAATTTTTAAAATTTTTAATACATTTTCTCATAACTATAAAATTTGCAAATATAAAATCTGTAATGTTGATTATCTGATATCATGTTCTACAAGTCTTTGAAATTTGAAATAATGAAGTAAAATTTTTACTAGAGGATTTCGATTTAACATATGTAAAAAAATAAAGTAACTCCTCTACTTACCTGCCTCCTACTGAAAATGGTGCTAAGAGTCCTGCAGTTATTCCTTCTGTTGTATAGAGGGAGCGAGCATTTAGTATACAGTCTTTGGATTTAATTAACCAGGGAGAAATCACTGAGTTTATTTGAGCATCAATGTTCTTAAAGCTGAGTAATGCGCCTGCATTAATTCGGGTATTAGATTATTAATATTTTGGTGATATGTACTTTCACTAATAAAAGTATTTTCAAAGAAATAATTTTTTCATAATTTGTTCATTTCAAATTATGAAAAATTGAAATTGGAGGGTGGTTCATCAATGAGAATTTTTTTTTTTGATCCGTTTCTTCTAGAAAAATTATTGTAGTTGTTAAATATATATATATATATATATATATATATATATATATATATATATATATATATATATATATATATATATATATATATATATATATATATATATGTATATATATATATTTATATATATGTATATATATATATTTATATATATGTATATATTCTAATCTTAAACCTATTATAAAAGGCCTACCGAGAGGAGGAACATTAGATATAAAAATAACAGATATATTATTACTAAATAAACAATCATCATAATATTTCTTAATAATACCAAAAACACTAACACTAAGAAACAACAATAATAACTCTCTATATTCTGAATTACACTGAAATTCATCCCAGATATTGACTTAGTAACTATCAGTTAATCTATCAAAAAAGTGTGGTGAACTGCTAGGATAATACACTCGATTAAATAAGTATTTACACAATTATGAAACAGTATAGGTCTTACCACAATTAGACCTACCATATAAATACAGGTATTTCTTTTTATAGTAGTAACTAGTACTTACAAAATCAATATACTGACAAAAACCAATCATTATATATATATATATATATATATATATATATATATATATATATATATATATATAATTGAAATCAGCTTTAAGTTTCCCAATTAATTTACAATAGGATCCAAAAAAGTAGTAAGGAAAAATAAGATCGTGTGAAAACGTTTTCAAAATACAATAAGAAAATAAGGGAATTATGTTTTCCTTCCGTGATTCGTGTATTCGGTTTTCTTTTGTGTATTCGGTTCTTATGTTTTTTCCCTTCCGCTTTTCTTAATACCTTTCCATTACAACTCTCCATTCTTTAATATTTCTTGTAATAGTATCAGGTATTCTCGTTACTGAAGGTTTTTGTTCATTTAACGATGTGGTCCATTATAGTTTTTATGTCTTGGTTTGAAGAAAAAAACGTCTGCCAAGTAAGGTCAGTATAGCTTCCTCACCGTTTCCGTTGTATATTACAAGGTATACAATTTTTCGTATGAGAATAGAATCTCTGAGGAAAGCAGAATCGGAATAGCCGATTACAGTTACCCTTCAACATTGAACAAAAGAGTGTCTTACTCGAAGATTCAATACTTGATTATGCTTAATAAAAAAAAAAAATAAAATAAAATAAAAAATAAATGCATACTGAACATGAATTTCAATACTGTTAGTAAAAAAGGTCTTACGTAAAAATTTATTTATTGTTCTACAAGAGTGCGTAAAAACCCATTATTTCTTTATGCTTTATTAGAATAATTTCATATTTTATTGTCGTCTGCTATTTTCCATGATAGCAGCCTACTTATATCAGTTGCAGACTACAAAATGTCACCTTTAATACACATAGAATTAAAGTTGAAAATTTTTACATTCGAACTTTTGCTCTGATAATAGTGATATACTATGATATAATAGTGATATTTGCTATGATATACACTACCGAATCCAGATATAATTTTGGAGGAGGGGCTTCAGCCCTTCCGTCATATATATATATATATATATATATATATATATATATATAACGATAATTAATTTGAAAAAAAATCCACTGCAAGTTATTTCACTATGGTATTTTATTTCCAAACAATTATACATATAAAGTAACATTAAATTCCTAATTATAAAGAAGAATAAATAAAAGGTGATTTCAATTATTGGACTAAATTTTTTTTTAATCATTAGTATTATGCTAAAACATAGCATGCATTACTTCAGTAACACATTCAAAAATTAAAACAAAAGATAAACCTTTTGCAATAGGACATCTAAAAATAATCTAGAGACCATATCTTTGTTGTTAATTGTCCGATTTTAACGATTTTTTTTTTGTTTTTTAGGAAATTCCGCAAAGCTTTAAAAAAACATATACAATATTTACAAAAATACGTCTTATACTTATACACGTATACTTCTTGAGTTATTCGGAATTTAAATTTACCTTCCCTCGTAACTTTTTTTTGAGCTTCTTTTCGTTGAAATATGTTATAAGATAAATTTAAAGGGCGTAGAGAAAATGACTTTAGCGAAGTTTCATTAAAATCGGTACATTCGTTTAGGCGCTACAGTCTATAGCAACGCAGGTTTTTCGGCCGCCATTTTGAAACTAGAAGGCGAATAGTAATGTCGTTGAAGGAGGATCATCCTCTGGTGACCTCTGATTTTATATCCAAATTCGAAAAAAATCGGTCCAGGGCAATGCGCGGACGGCGGACAGCGGACTATTAGTGCATATATAATAGAAAGTGGTGGACAGAATTCAATAAAATTGACCCTATTTTTTCACCAAAGTCTACCTTTTATCTAACTTTGAGCCAAATCGAACAAGCCCTTTCTGAAATATTGGCATATCTAAAAATATACGTTTGCGCGTGAGTAAGCGGAAGTGCTGGATGGAATTTGGTAAAATTGATATGGGACCATCTAGGCACCAATCAGCATAATCTCTGAAAATTTTATGAAGATAGGATGAACGGTACTAGGTGATATGCCCGTCACATCGATTTGACTACAGACAGACAGAAAGACAGACGGACAGACAGACAGACACCGAACCAAATTTGATCCTTGATGTCTGAAACGTAAAACGCGAGTGAAAATTTTCGATTCTGAGCAAAAAAGTTTTTTTAATCTCTCGCACGAACACAATGCTTCCCTACCTTCGGTAGTGAGGAAGCAATAATGCTATATTCTAGTTACGTTTTATAATTACATACTCACCTTTAGGTTTACCCATACTTCCTGAAGTATACATTAGAAGTGCATCGCTCTTGTTGTAAAAATCTTTGTCTTGACCATAAAGATCTTTATTCAACTCATCCGGATTGATCATTTCGTCTGTCACTTGCAGGCCGATTTTAGCTTCGTTCCTGTAAGGGAATGACAATTTTTGAAAAGTCGTGTGAAGAATAGAAATACGATTATTCGTTGTACATTTGTTCAGAATTGTTAAATAACAAAATGTTAAAATTAGATAGATAAAAACTAATCCCTGCTGGGTGGCCAAACAGGGATTATACTTGCGTATTAAATTAGCGAAGAATCCTTTTTATCGCACATCTAATTAGTAGGCGATTTATGTATATTCCTTAAATATATATTTATATATATACTATAAGAACGTACGTTATATCAGTGTCCAACACTAGCAGCTCAATCTTGGTGCGCTGGGTCACATTCTTCAGTTTATCGACGTGTTCAAGAGTGGTTATTGCTAGCGCAACGCTGGAGTTTTTGAAAATATATTCCAGAACAGCTTCCGGATAGTTTGGGTTCAATGGAACGGCTGAAAACATACTATAAATATTAGTAAACAGAAAGCATCATACATTTATAGCTCTCTTGGCGTGCACGTTAACTTAAGTCACGTTTAAATTGTGCATACTGGAAGTCAGATGAGAAAAGACAAAATAAAATACTACCACTAACATTGTAAATCGGGATTAGGCCATTTATTTCAAGGATGTGAGATTTCATACCTTGCGGGTCGATGGGTATTCATTTTTGGATCTATAGCTCTTTCTGAATTTTATTAAGGCCGACAGAACACCAAAAGCGGAATTGAGTTAAGTTTAGTCAGCTTCCAAAACCAAATCAAAGGTTTTAATGAAAGGGCGGCCACCGGATGCGGAGCAGTGCGCATGGTCAACTCTCCTCCGCTTTGAGTTGACCGAGGTTCGGATTTTGAAGCTATACTTCGCTTTCCCCACCACTGCCACACAACAGTGTTGTACCTCAGTGTCATCCATTCTTTCAGCTTGTGCTCACACCACAGCATCTCAAATTATTTTAATTTGGTTTAGTATAAAACGTGAAATGTATATGGAAGAATTCTAATTCGAATGTGTGAGGAAAAATATTCGATTTTATAAACAAATATTCGATTTCTCTTTTCAACTTTGACATAACCAACTTCGATATTTGTTAAAAAAATATATGTATATTTAAAAAAAATGTTATACAGAATATGAGAACGATACCGATGCAAGACAAGTTGCACTGGACTGGAGTCAAAATCAACCATTCTCGCTTGTTTCCTCATGTTTACTGTGATTGGCTATTATTAAGAATTGCCTTTTCTTTTCCTATCCTTCCAATAAAATCTCCCAGAATTATTTTGACATCATGCTTATGTAAGAAATCATGCATCCTTTCTAATATTCCATGTATCCTATTCCTCTTCGTTGTCTTTACCTTCTATAGGTGCATGGATGCTAATAAGGGAAATGTTGAAAACTTTCCTCTCAACCTTAATAAACATATTCTTTCATTCACTATTATATGTATTTGATAAGAGAATGTAGGAGGGAGTTTTTTTTACAGCAAAACCTGTGCCCATAATGTTTTGTCTATCGCCGCTATTAATAATGTTGTAGTGATTCATCTTGGCGAGTACTCTGTCTCTCCATCGGATTTCTTGCAGTGCTAGTATATCTGTTTTGTATTTCTCAATCTCTCTTTCTAAATCGCTTCCAGCACCAGGCTGGAACAAGCTAAATTTATTTGTCCATGTCCGCACCTATATCGTTTCTCATGTAATCAATTTCTTTCCGAGGCTATTTTGGCTTCTTGAAACCTTGTTTGATTTTTAAAGTACAGTGTAGTTAGCCCTGTGCCCAACCCCCAACCTGGAGGACTGGGGTTTCCTTCCATAGTTGAAGGTTCCAGTTTCAAGTCGCCAGAAGCTCATCAGAAGTCGCATGTGTCCTCATCCGTTAGCCAATGTCCACTATGGTGTGCATTGACCAGCGGTCACTACGAGGAAGTGGGAGGAGGACTTGCTATTACATCCTCTTGAGGACTGGAGCCATTTCTCGTTTTTTTTTTTTCTTCTAGCCAATGGGAATCGACATACCATATCCCACCGAGAGCCATTGATAGCCATTAGACCGTTACTTATACAGGCTTATACAAAATTATTTAAGAAAACAAATATTGGGAGAGAAGACATGGTTAGCATTTCAACATTCTGATATAAACTAATTAAGTGTAAATAATACCTTTAAAAAAAAAAGGAAGGAAAAAAAGGAATCCCCGTCGGGATAAATTATTTTAAACCATCAAAAAAATAATATAGACACTGTTGTTGCAAAAGGTCGTATATAAAAATTTTGTACTTTTTTTTTACAGAAAACATACAAATTGATTATTTCGTTATTGATTTATTAATATAAATTTTATAATTGAGTTCCCTCTACTATTTTCTTTAGTAGCAGACTACCTATATAAGTTGCAGAATACAAAATGTCACATTTAACACAAATATAATAAACATGTAAAATTGTTACGTACGATCTTTTGCACTAACAGTAGCGAAATGTAATTTTTTTGGTTTGCATGTGTTTCTCGCGGGTCAGGAATTGGTATTAGGGCAATACCCCTCATCTCGTTATTTTTATCATTCTTGTTCCACGTATAATGTAAAAAATAAAAAAAATAAATATAGATTTTAGCTACTTAAAACTTAAAATATTGACGAGCTTCATCAGCAATAAACCCACTTCTTTCAATGTTATCAATAATCAGTCCCAAGAAGAACTCCCTTCCATGCTTTAAAATGAAACAAAGTTTCAGAACAAAGCAAATTATTCAGAAAACAGGTTTTTTGTTTAACTTCGAAGGAAAGATATTTTTTGAATAGAGGTCTCGAAAATAAAAAAATAAGTTAATTTAGCGTTCCGACAAAAGTATAATTGTTGGAAACTGTATCAATTGCTGTAAATTAAATAAATTGAAAATAAATATTATCATCAAGTTACTGGAATACTGTCATGATTACCTAAGCATCCATAATTCTTTTATTTGCATCGTCGAACGAAGGTGGAGGAATTTATTTACTATAGACTATTGAAAAATATTAATCGTATTAATCCTTATTCTTCAATCATCAGTTTTTAATAATCATCAATAGGATTTTTATAATTATTCGGTTTAACTGTTTAGATGGCTTAGCCTTTTAGCTTACTTAACTATTATCTATATTACTGGTTGAAAGTAAGAAAAAACATCCTTAAAGTAAAAAAACATAAAAGATAAATAAAAATACCATATTTGTATTAAGAGGATAGCTCACCGATCTGGCCACTTATCCAACATGCCCATTGGGAAATGACCAGGTTTGCATTGTTGGAGCAGATGACTGCGACCCTCTCTTGAAGCCGCATCGCCGTGAGCCGGGTGATGGCCACGCTCAACCTCTTGCTGCTCTTGGCCAGCCCTAGGAAGGTGTAGTCTCCGTTCGAGTCCCGCAGGCACACATCGTTCTTGTATTTGAGGCAGGATTTGAAGATGGGCTCGATCTGTCTGTCAGGAACCTGCATTCGCGTAGTCGCCATCCTGCGGATAACTATCCGAAGACCAGGATACGTCCTCAAGAGGCTGTTCCAAACCATAGTGCACTGACCTAATGAAGGTATGGGTTAGGAACAGGTTAGCAACTGTAATACGTTTCATCAACAACCATATGTTGCTTTTTTCTAGTTTGGATCTAGAGGCACATTGTATAATGGTAATTGCCAATTATTTGATTCAATTGATATCGCTTCCTTTCCATTAGAAACTGGCAGTTAAATCATATATTTTCTCAAAATATACATTTTGTTAAACCAGCAGTTCTTTTTTTATATTCATTCAGATTTAATTTAATAAACATAATCACCTGTTATAGCGGGCCTGTTATTGGCGAACATATTGTTTTTAAAACTTTGTTGCCGGTAGACTTCAATTTATGTTACATTAGGGATAATTTATAGATCCTGTTGTTGAATAAAATTGATTAAGACATAATTTAAACTTCATCTTAAAAATGGCCTGCCTACCCCAGAACATTGTGTTCTTGATGGCAATGAACCAGGCAGAATGGCAAATAAAGCGTCAGAAGGATATCCATTGAAAGCATAAATAAGCTAAAATAATTTGGATTGCATAATACATTGCCAAACAAACAAGAAATGATTGAAAATCAAACAGATAACCTTTTTAAGAAATTGCATTGACCAATTATGTGAATATTCAGTCATTCATCAAGAAGTGTGAGTGATATATGGATATATTAAAGTTGGTAAAATTTTTACTTACATTGCCTTAAGGAATTAGAACCAAATCTTCTTCATAGTTTCAACTATTGAGAACCACCTTTCGGGGTCATAAAGGATTTTATTCAATCGGGAATATAAGTGTGTTCCCGTACGTACATGATGATATGGCACTTTTCTTTTAACGAGGAACCACTTTTCTTTCATACATTTATTTTTATTTTATTTAATCTTTGTTTGTTTTGAGGGAAGAACCCATTCAAATAGAGTCTATATTTTTATTATAAACATTGCTGTTGTTTTGGTAATACAATATTGGTTTATTGTTTTCAATAATGAACCACTGTGATCGACAGAAATCACATCCGCCTCAAACTTCGTAAATAGCTTTATATCATCGTAACCTACAACTATTTTATTTACGAAAATTCTCGGAATTGGGGCGTTTTCAATCTGGAGATCGGCAAACTTCGTCTATTTAATTAGGTAATAAAAATTCGTAAACACCCATATTCTTTCCTCTTCAATTTGGCATAAAATCAAGATAAAAGGCGCCTTCAAAAATAATGACCTCCAAAATGTCAACATAACGAGGTTTAATAGAACAAATGGATCAATATTTTGTAGGCCAACTTTTTCTCGATTTCGTGATCAAATTATCTTACGATCCAAGCGGGAAGAAAATGGGTATTTACGATTTGTTAGTACCTAATTTAATAGACAAAGTTTGCCGATCTCCAGATTGAAAGCGCCCCAAGAGTTTTCGCAAATAAAACAGTTTTAGGTTACGAAGCTATTCACGAAGTTTCAGGCAGATGTTAATAATCTGATAAAAAGGGGGCCATACCACTGGCAATAAGTAGAAACTTAGACTGCCTATTAATGTAATTTTCATTTATTATTTGTATGAAATTCAACCCCACTTCCCCAAATTACTTCTTAAACCCGAAATTTTCAAGGTTATTAACTGTTATAGATAACATAAATACAATGTGTGTCTAGATACTGCCAGATGTAATCATGTTGATCAACTTCTGCTTTGACAAACCAGGTCCTTAAAGAGGGCTATAAAAACGAAATCAGTGTTAAGAATATCCCCTCTCCTAAAGATAAGGGATATCACCGCGACGTTGTTGAATGCCAATGGACTACATGGGGGTCCGAAAGTGCTTCCAGTGTAAAATGACCCTTCATGGACCCTCCCCCCACCACCTGTACTTTGAGGGGACAGAAAGGATTGCATAATGGGAAATTTTACTGGTGGGGTTGGTTAAAAATATGATATAAAGTTTCTATTGAGAAAACAACCGAAAAGTTTAAGATATTAAACTGATTTTTCTTTACATTTTTTGGCTATCGTACTTATCTGGTATAAGGCGACTTTTGCTTCATATTATTTATGTAAATTTATAATGAATATCGCTCTTTAGTATTAAGTGGTTTAACAAAAGCATTTTTTTTTAATTTGATGTTTCTTCGTATAATTTATATTCGATTCGAACTTAGCAACATACTACACATATTTAATTTTACTATTTTATTTTGATAAAATAACCTTCCTTCAATGATTGTGAGAATTATATAATTTGCCTAACTATTTCTGTTCCTATGACAACTTCAATAATACAACATGTGAGGCATAAGAAACGGCAAAAAAAAAAAATCGAAATTATCTCAAAATGTACAACATACGTTATCGCTGAAGATACTTGGACAATGTTAATCAAGTAAGATGATTTTTATCATACTACATTTTACTTGAACATGGCAGAATAATAAAATGAAACTTTCAAAAAATAATTTGTATTTAGAATACATCACTACGAATGCTGATGACACATGTAGCCTGTCAGTTAATAATGATCGAACAATTGCATCCCAAACTCTTCAATCACATATCACAAACCTTGAAGAATGGTGTCAAAACTGGAGTATTAAAATAAATTCCAATAAATCCCATCAAATCACCTTTACCCTTCGTCGTAAACCAATGACTTGCTGTCCTATAGTATCCTTTAATAACACCCCACTTATCCCTGTAGAACAAATCTGATACCTTGGACTCCAGCTGGACAAATGTCTCACTTGGAATCCTCATACAAGACTGAAACGACAAGTAACTGCTCGACGTTTCCGTTTACTCCAACACTTACTGAACAAACGCTCTAAACTTCTCATTAATTACAAACGACTCATATGCATGACTATAATAAGACCTATTTGGACTTATGGAGTTGAACTATGGGGCTCCCACTAAACCATCAAATTGCTCCCGTATCCAATCTTTACAATCCAAAATCTTTCGTAAAATCCTCAATGCTCCTTACTTTGTCACAAATAAAATAATCCATAAAGACCTCAATGTTCCATATGTTTCCGATTTGGCAGAATCCAGATACCTATCCTTCCATAATAAACTTCATAACCATCCCAACCCTCTTGTTTCTAACCTTGCTTCCTATTCGATTCCTGATAACCCTCTGAGGCGTCTGAAAAGGAGATGACCACGTGATCTCCTAATATAGACATATTATTAGAGTGCTACTTATGGATAGTTTCTCAACATGTGTTTCATGTCATTATATCCATGTGCGAATTTACTAGATGTATTTTTTGTATACAGTTGTAAATATCATATAAATAAATAAATAAAATAAAAAAGTATTTAGAATCTATTCAATAAGATTGAGATTTTATCCATATGGTTTAAACACAATTTATTGTCAATTTGCAGATATCGCTTACTATGTAGACATCCCCAAAGATATAAAAAATAGTAAAAAGTATCAACACCCACTGGCGGACCTACGGGGGAGCTTAGTTAAGCCCTCTCCTCCTCCGCAATCTTTTTATTGGTCCATATTTCTGTGGGTACCATTTGCTTTTGTTTTAATTTATTGTGATAAATATTTTTAATATTTTTGTTCAAGCCTTTAAGAAACATTTTAGTACCATTTCATATAGTGTCAAAGAAATAATAATTTTGCAAACACAAAAAAAAATCTTCTCAAAATTAATTCATGGATGGAAGCCTGCTTACACTAATGGTGCGCTTAGACATTTCACAAACTGTGATAAAAAAAAAATTGTTATGGTTGTTTACCTATGGTACTGGTTTTGTTTCTTGTTTTTGATGTTTTTCATATTCTGTTGGTAACAAGAGGAATAAAAAAAAAGAGAGCTTTGTGCTAGTTTCGTTATTACTTAAGTTGTGTATTTGTGTTTCTCATAGTTTGTGAAGTGTCTAAACGCACCTTTAGATTTTAAACATCTTTCAATTCGTGTTTTAGCTTTGAGAGAAAGATCTCTTAAATGGCCTTCTAACCACCGCATCCAATTCATAAGGAATTCATCCAGCGTCGCTAATTATTATACAAGGTAACATTGAATTTCGAAATTTCTATTTTTAGCTTATGGGTCAATTTATTTTAATAATGAAAATTAGGTAATTAAAATAATTAGTAATTAGTAATAAACTAAAATTAAATCGAAAAACGGAAGAACACACTATACATTTAAGTGTGTTATTCAATCCAAAAGTTCAAACTTTGAAAGGAACTATTCTGATATTTTTATCTGGATTATAATTAGGAGAATATAACATTCTTATTTTCAATTGCGCACTTGACTTGTATAAATAAATTAAGAAAATATCTTGCCTTAAAAAACGACAAATGATTATTTATTGTATAATCTACCCATTAGTTAACCCATCATACGAGCCTTTCAGTTGGCAGAATGACTAACTCCAATTTTAATATTTTTGATTATTTATTTTAGTGATATTTCTAGAGGGAAAATTTATATCTTTATTCACATTTCTATATTTCAACTCTGCAATAACCTACTCTCTAATCAATTTACTCACTGTACGTACATATATTATAAATTTTCCAACTAGAAATATTACCTAAATGACATTAGTCAAAAATGTACCCGTCGTTGACGGGTGTATATTTAAAATTTAAGAATCTTTTTTTGAGATCGATTTTGTATTATGGGGAGGAGAGCCAAATTTAATTTAATAAAATTGGGTGGGGAGAAGTTGTTTTGAAATTTTTTATGGAGGATAATTTAATTTAAGGTTTCGCAATAGTCATAACAAAAACATTGTTATTCGGCTATATGTTTAGATGGCACACAATTAAACCGAGCACCACCGATCCTTTAAAATTTTTTAGGTGTTTAATTTCCATTTATGATAAGGCGAGGAGATTGTGGAGTCGATTGAAATAATCAAAATGAGTTAAAGCAATTGATAATTGAAGCAAAATTTTATTTTTTTTTTATTTATTTTTTCCGATTTCTGTCTAATCCGTTTGTTTAATCCTATAAATGTATACGAGAACATTTGTTAGGCTCGAGAAATTGAATTGAATGACACCTTGAACGGGATGATTGGACAAAAATGAAACATTAGTCTGTTTTACCCGTGTTTTAAGCGACAACGCGTTACAGGTGTCCGGGATTTTCGAATTTTCCTCGTTGAGTTGTGATAATTTTTTCCATCAGTTGAATAGTGCAACTTAAAAATGTGGTTCGCGGTAGAGTAGGTTGGGATGAGAATCGAAATAAGTAACTGCCTAACCGGGATCTCTAGACAAATTAATCA